CATTCTAAGTGAGGAACAGAGTCTGGATTTCAAACCCAGTTTGTCTGACCTCAAAATCTTTGATTATGAATGGATTAATACATTCAGTTCACCAATATTGGATCAAGGCTGGAACAGAAAACAGTGTCTGAAATCACATTTCAACTAAACATCTAACATGCTAAGAAATGTGAGATATAAATATGAAAAAGACACAGTCTCTGCTCTGATAGACTTATAGTTTAGTAAAGAAGGCCTAAATACAAATAAATACAAAGTGAAAATTTCTTGGGAAAAGAAAATCATTCTGGAAAAATAAGGTACTGAAATATAAGATGATTACACCTTATAACCACTCTATTTCTGGGAGCCATAAAGATATAAGTAAACAAGTCTATGTGTGCCTTATATTCAGTGCCCAATGCTCATCTTGAAATTACATTTCCCTCACTGCTGATGAAATTGGAGAGGATTCACCAAAACTGACCCCATAGTAAACTCAGAGAAGTCTGGCCATTAGATAAAATGCTTGACTACAACAGCACCTAGACTACCATGCACCTGTTTTTAGAGCCACACGAACACAACTTTTTTTTTTTTTTTTTTGAGACAGAGTCTCACCGTGTTGCCAGGGCTAGAGTGCCGTGGCGTCAGCCTAGCTCACAGCAACCTCAAACTCCTGGGCTCAAGCGATCTTGCTGTCTCAGCCTCCCGAGTAGCTGGGACTACAGGCATGCGCCACCATGCCCGGCTAATATTTTCTGTATATTTTTAGTTGGCCGATTAATTTCTTTCTAATTTTAGTAGAGGCGGGGTCTCGCTCTTGCTCAGGCTGGTCTCGAACTCCTGAGCTCAAACAATCCGCCCGCCTCGGCCTCCCAGAGAGCTAGGATTACAGGCGTGAGCCACCGCGCCTGGCCGAACACAACTTTTAATTGTATTTGTTGTCCTAAGTGAAGTTAGAGTTCAGAGAAGAGGATGATATTTTAAGTGCTAAATGCCTGTTATAAGTAATCACTCTATTGACTAAATTAAACCTCAATAAATATATATTATCTGCATTTCTTAGTTATTATCAACAGTTCTTTACTCCTCAGCAGCCAAATTCCAGATGAATATTAAAATATTCTTTGGTCCATTCTGTTCTTCTGAGGGAAAGTACAACCAAGCTATTTAATTCAGGCAGTAAATATCAAAAATTACCTTTTTAAAAATAGGAAAGATATAATCTGATAGGATTTGGAGACCCTCGATTGGTTAACATACATAAATATAAATAAAATCTCTTTTAAAAGTTATTCATCGATGGATTAGGAATAACTTTCAACTAAAACCAAGTTATTCATACTAGTAATTAGGATTTTAGATATATTTAATTTGCAAAATTAATTATAGGCTGCTGCAATAGAGTGCAAGGTATCTTAGCTTGAAATAAGAAACCCTAATTGAATGCAGCCTATGTTACTTACATCTTGGGTAATATACTTCTGTTTGCTGAGCCTCTATTTCCTTATCCGTTAAATGGAGATAGCAAAACAAAAGCTATAGGATTACAGAATGAGAGCATACATGAAGCTCCTGATATAACTAGTAATTTGTTGAAATTATAAAGACAGAGATATGTACTTGACACAGTGTTGGATATCAAAAGTTCACATTGTGACTCCATGGGGCAGGGAACTCATTGTGATTAATAATATTGGTAAATGGGCTATAATGAAAACTTAATTAGGAAACAGAATCAACTGGAGACGAAGCAGAAGTAGTAAGAGTTTAGGAAAATGATTCCCAAATATTAGTCCACATGCATCGGAATCACCTGGCGCACTGGTTAAAACCTGGTTGCTAGGCCCCACCTCTAGAGTTTCTGTTTCAGTAGGTCAGTTGTGGGATCTGAAAATCTGCATGTCTAACAAAATCCAGGTGGTCGTTGCTGCTGGTCTGCAGACCACCCTTTGTGATCCACTGCTTTAGAGTAATGGAGAGCAGCAGGTTGGAGCTGAAGAAATCAAAGAGAAGCGTCTTGTGGGTATCTATTTTTTTTGAGACTCTGTAGCCCAGCTGGAGTGCAGTGGCATCATCATAGCTCACTACAACCTTAAACTCACAGGGCTCAAGCCATCCTCCTGCCTCAGCCTTCCAAGGAGCTTGGACTGTAGGCTCGCACTACCACACCCGGCTCATTTTTTCTTTTTTTCATAGAAACCGGATCTCCCTCTTGCTCAGGCTGGTCTAGAACTCCAGCCCTCAAGGGATTGTCCTGCCTTGGCCTTCCAGAGTGCTAGGATTACAGGTGTGAGCCAACACACCTGGCCTTGTGAGCATCTCAAGCATACAGTTTGACAAGTTTTGACAAATGGATACACCTGCATTATCACCCAAATTAAGATATGGAGCACTACTATCACTCCTAAAAAAAATTTTCATGAGGACAAAATAGCAACACATTTAATTTTTACAGATATTTTCTATGCTTTGAGACATTCATCAGGAACTCTAGAGCCACACTGTCCTATGTAATTTACAATTTGCCAGTAGCCACATTACACAATGGAAAAAAACAAGAAAAATGAATTTTATTAATACATTTTATTTAACCCAATGTCATATTATCAACATGCAACCAGTATGAAAAAATTGAGACATTTTACATTCTTTTTTCCATAAGTCTTCAAAATCCAGTGTGCATTTTCCACTTACAGCAGATCTCAATCTACACTAGCCACATTTCAAGATTTCAATAGCCACTGGTGGCTAAAGGCTACTGTATTGGACAGCACATGTCTAAAGTCTAACTCTGTCTCCAGCATAATCATCACCTTAAAATATACAAAGTACATAAAAGGTTATCCTAAACTAAGTAATGCTCTGTGTTAAAATGGCAAGTGAAAAATTAAATGTTAAAATATTTGTACCTTTTCTAATTACTAAATGAGAAATTTTGCAGTTACATAAAAATGGCTTTGCAAATCTTTTTGACATTTTTACCAATGCTTGAAAACCATTTTCTTCTTTCCGTTATCTCATTAAGATAACGAAATATCTTAATGAGCACTAGGTTATTTTCTTTTTCTCCATCTGACTTGTTCATTCTGTCATTCACTAAATATTTATCTGCTAACTATGTGCAAAACTATGCTATACAACACTATGTGATGCAGTGAGGGATGTAAAGTACACTCCATCTTCCACTTTCACAAAGTTTCCAAACTAGTAAGAGAGGGAGTGAAAATGTGAAGAATATGTGAAAATATATCTCTATTTTACTGTATCACTCTGTGTCAATTATTTGTTTACATACCAGTCCTTCCCCAATTCTTTAACAATGAAGAGAATGGACTTTATCATCTTCCCAAGGCCTAACAGAACACCTTAATAAACATTTATGGAGTTCACTATAATGAAAAATTATGTATTATTTTCTAGAACAGAGGTCCCTACAAAGTACACAAAGAAATATTTTATCTTCCCTATGCTAGACTATAAGGCAGAGGAGTTACCAAGGGCAGGCCTTGAAAGATTTGATAGAGGGTGGTGAGAAGTTTGAAGAAAAGAATGATAAATTTTTACAGATGAAAAACTATGGGAACAGAAGAGTACATCACATATGATGGGTATTCTCTGCATGTTTGCTTATTAAATGCACAAGTGACTAAAGGGAAGAGCCTAAATGACTAAGAATATCATTTATAGAGATAGAAATGGAGGATTTGAGGACGTGAAGGGGTGGTGATGCTACATAAGCTACGTGGGAAAAAGTGACATCTTGAGTAGGCAGCTGCAATTCTTAACATTTTAAAGCAAAATAACAGCAGTAACTACCCTCCCTACCTTGGAAGGTACAGTTCTGTATCCCACTTTCTTACCTTTGGGATAATGCCTATTGCGTCCATTTGACAACTTTAATGATTCCATAATCTGTCATTAACTTGAACAATTTCATTCAGGCATATTTATGGGCAGGATGAGAAATAAGAAATCTAGCAAAATTACATGCTTTTATTTTACCATCATGCATATAAAGGAAGACAAATATGCCAATGGTACACTTCCAATTCGTCAGAGCAAATTCACAGTATTTATGCAATTTAGGAACAAAGACACATCAGTTACTAAGTTGTTACCAGGGCAAATTACCAAGTAAGACAATCAAACCACACACTTTTTTGTTGCTTATTTTTCCACAAAGACAACAATTTGACAAGCCTAACAAAGACCAAGTTATTCAAACTATGTTTCTAAGAATATAGCTTAACAGAAAGAACAAGTTGAAAACTGTTATGAATATTCATGTCTCTATATTGTAAAGACTGTTATTCTTCTAAATGTTACCAACTGAAAGCAAAAGAAAGCTTGTACTGCTTGCTCTATTTTTCCAATAAGCAGAAACAGAAAATAACAAGATTTTACTAAATACTAGTGAAGTAAGAGCACAGCATTAATCTTCCACATAAATTGGGTTACAGGTGTTCTCAAAGTCTGTTGTGATGGTCAGAGGAGGCAAGGAGTGAGTCTGGGCACCCTGAGCCGTGAGCAGGGGCGGGAAGAATGTCCTGTGATGCCCAAGCCTGTGAAGTATGAGACAGCACCCTGCTGTCTGCCCTCCCCAGCCTGTGCGCACTGGGAGTGCTCACAGGATCCCTTCCCCCACAGGCACAGGAGGCTGGAGGGTTCAGAGGCAGGAGTACAACAGCCCAGGCTCCAACTGATACCTGCCAATGTCACCATGGTCAGGCCAGCTCAGGACGCTGAGCTGGGTCATCCCCACAGTTACCTCCTTTACTGAATCACGAGCTTGAGATTCCAGACAATACGCACTGGTCAATGCACCGAGGCTGGCTCAGCCGCTCTGTAGTTGGGATGACGATTGGAGCGACCGTTTACTCGGCACCTACTAAACACCCGGTGCTCTGCACATGTTATCTACAGTCTACACAACAAGATTTCATACTTAGCCACATTTCACAGATGACAATACTGAGGCTCAGAGAAGGTAAATGACAGCGCCCCCTCCAAAAAAAAAAACGAGAGAAAAGACCCAAAGCTGCATTGTTTGTTTCTTTTAAAGAACCCTTGTCTAGGCAATGTTTTTAATACTCAAACCCCCTTCAATTCTACAGCAATCCTGAGAAGTATTTCTCCTCCCATCACCATTGATGAGTAAGTACCCCTTTCTTGAAGGTTCTTAGCGTAGTCTTCATTCTAGACCCAATTTTTACCGGGCTTATTTCTGCCTCCAGCCTTTAGTTTTCCCCCTGCTTAGGGCACTTATCATAATCTCTTCAGTTCTTCCATTATAAATTAGATCTCACCTTTTATTCCATCTAGATCTCTATCCCTTTAAAGCCTCTAGGAGTCACTAAAGAGGCTGGGGAGCTGGAAAGAGCAGAGGGGGACAAAAAGAGCTTTTAACAGTCTACTTTACAGGATAACCTGTCTCTGGAAACGACAGAGTTGAAATAAACCAAAAAGCTTGCTTTTCAGATGTTTCTAAGCTATCATTTTTTTTTTTTTTAATGAGATAGGAGAAAAAGAGGAAAAGAGGGAGAGAGGGACCTCGGCAGTAGCCAAGGAGGGTGGGTACAGCCAGTAGCAGATAGCAAAAGGTGACCAGAGGTACAGGAACAGCAATGGAGTAACATAAATCACGTAGAACAAGTGGCCCACTGCTGCTCTCCCTTGACATCACTAATGCCTACTAATGTCCACAGGCCATGTGCCCGTACTGCCAGAAGCCAGCAGAATGGATAGAATGGGCTCTTAGATAAAGCCAGGCATCCAGGTGATAGTAACCAGATCAGAAGCCCTGGGAACAGAGTCGAAGCAGTGCAGACAAAGGCAGTACAATATACAGCATTATTTGCTTGGCTTAGAAGTGTTGTGGACCATGGCCACACAGCATGTGACAGTAATGTGGAACAGCATGAAGACCTTGTGAAGTGGAGAAGAATGTCCATGACTGTAATTCTTGAGGCTGAGAGAACTGAATATCCAGGGGAGAGGTTACAGAAAGGTCAACCAAAAAAAAAAGTAGAAGGCATACCCATTGCTGTTGCCCAAGCACAGGTCCAGCAGGTGGTGACACGGGACCTTGTGCAGTATACTCAAGGGCAGATGTTAGCCAGACTGGAACCCAAAGGGCCTGGGGATCTCCACTGGCTCCCTTATTGGGCGACGTCTGGGTCTACGGACTCCTTCACGCAACAGGTAGTACTGCAGTGGATTCGGCCACAGGTCCTCTTTGATAATCTCAGCAATTCTGTCAGACTCTGGAAGGCTGTGGTCTGAAAACCAGGTGAAGAAGCTGCAGACGAGGTCTTGGTTTCTGCGAATGAAGGACTGGGGTTCATGTCCCCTGCGCCATATGATTGGAGTGGAAAGAGACACCACTCGGCCGGAGGATCTGACCTCATATTCCTTGACGATCAGCTTGTTTCTGAAGTAGGGGTTTCTTCGAAAGAAGAACTTGAACTTGCAGCCAGTCCTCGGGTGTCTGAGTTCCTTCACCTCCAAATTGGTTATGTACCTTAACATCTCTGCATCTTGGCCCCTAATCATCGGGGACAGCTGGGGGTGGTTCCGAAAGGCAGTCATCCAGAAGCCGGGGATATTCTGAATGATGTAGTTCCTCCGCTCCAGGTAGTGTCGACGCATCCGCCCAAACTTGTGCTCCAGCTGCTGGAAGGCCCTGTCGGCCTGAGCATTCACTGTGTCCAGTTCCAGCTGGATGGCCTCCAGAGGGTCCATGCGGAGAGCCACATTCAGAGGCCAGCGCCCCGCCTCCTCCCTCACCGCTTCTGCCACTCTATTTTCCTCCACCGCTTCTATTTCTTCACCCACTGGTTTGTCCTCCACCTCCATTGGATCCTCCACCACCTCGCTCTCCTGCACTCCTTCTATCTCCAAGACCTCAGCCCTCGCCTCGTCATCCATTGCTACTGAGAGGGTGGCGCACTTTTCAGACTTCACATCCTCCTCCTTCGCGCCCACCATCACCTCAGACCACAGCCTCTCTGCGCCACAGGTTTTTAGGGCCTTTCCTCCATCTTGAAAGCCATTTATCACGCTGTTTTCAGCGGCCACCAACACGCAGGCGGCTTCCAGGCCCTCCGTGGGACGCGGAGCCTCTTCCTGCCCATCTCCGACAGCTACACGACCGCAACCGCCACCGACTCGGATCTGAGGAGTACGGCCACTGTCTGCGGGATCCCGGGGTACGCCCCCCACCCCTAACAGCTGGGGCGATGGGAGCGCGACGGTCTCTAAGCTCCCCTCGCCCGTCTCCGCCATCACCTGTGTTGCCTCGGTTTCGTCGCGGAGGCTCAGGCACCGGTGAGGGTCCGGATCTCCTGGGGCATGGTCGGCAACAGTGAGGCTGCAGGTTTGGGAGAGAGGGGTCCTCTCGACCCCACCCAGGCCGCTCATGCTGGTACCAGGCCAACGGTGGAATAACGTTTGTTTTCCTCACAGAAGCCGCGCCCTGAGGTAACCGCCGCTCGCACCGCCCACTCTCCAGTCTCGCGAACGACTCCGTGGCGGTGACGTCAGGGCTGCAGATCTCACCGTATCGCGAGAACTCGCTGCGTACGCGCACTGTGCCTGCTGCTGCGTGCCAGTTAAGTGTGTTTTCTTAGTTTTATCTTTGTGAATTTAACCAGCAGCAACGGTAATTTTACCGACATAAATAAATGTAGGTCGTCCTCAGAGCCTAAAGGCATTGAGGCCTTGCAATCTATCTGAAAACTGCTCCCAGCGTGTAAACTGGAGCAATTGTAGGGATCACAGTCCTAACACTGCCTACTGTCCAGTGTCTGAAAAATGTTTTTCTGGTTTTCAATTTTTTTGAGGTAGGAAAATAAATTATTTCCTGTTACTCCATATGGCTAGGAGCAAAAGTCATGTCTTTATTTTTAACTAAGATGCATAACAAAATGTTTCCCTTAAGTAAAAGTGGCATGAAAATATTAATTCTAGCCTCTACCATTAGTGGGAGAAAAAGCTACTCAGAAGCTTTTTATCACTAAAGCGATGTCTATTATTCATTGCTGATCCTCAATTTATAATCTGCATAAGAGTTTGTGCTGCATGAAATTGACAGGAATTAAGCCGCGATCAATTTGCTAAATTTTGTTACCTGCCCCCTGGATTTGTTATCCTGGATTATCCAGGTGGGCCCTATTGCAACAGGCCTTATAAGGAGGCAGGAGTGTCAGAGAAGATGTGATAACCAAAGCAGAGGTGAAGGAAGGGAGAGAGGCAAGACAGATGATACGTTGCTGGCTTCGAAGGTAGAGGAAGGATCTGGGATCCTAGTAATGAAGGCAGCCTCTAGAAGCTGTAAGGTGAAGGAATGGAATCTCCTCTAGAGCCTCCAAAGGAATGCAGCCCTGCCAACACTTTGACTTTATGACCTCTAACCTCTCGAGCTGTAAAATAATAAATTTATGTCTTTTTAAACTATTAAGTTTGTGGTAATTTATTACAGAAGCAATATGACACCACACCTTGGGTTAAGGTTTGGTTGCATCTACGCATGCCTCAGGTTGTTCTAACACCAGCACCTTCAGCCTTACCCATTGCTTACCCTGCAGGCCTGCTCAACAGCTGTGACTTATCACAGCTGAGTCTCTGAGTAATGAGACCAGAAATATACCTACGGAATAACACAGAAAGACAAAATTAAAGCCCAAACTACCACAAAAAAATATTTGAGAAGACTGTGAACTGCAGGAAGACAAGGTCAGTGTTTTGTCTACCTATGTTTACCTAGTGCCTAGTACACTGCCTTGCACAGTGTTCCATAGATTATTAAAGTGTTAAAGGAACAAATTAACAAAATACAGTTTCTCCTGCTTGCAACTTGGGGCTTTCAGAAGAGAAGTGAGGGGCTTGTGTATTGTCACCCTGCTCTCCTCCCTATCTGCCACTGGTAAACTAGAGGGCTGCTCTCCTGTATACAGTAACAAAATCCTAGTCAGGAGAATGAATTTCTGTGTGTGGGTCAAAGCCCCTACAAGCACAGGAAAACTACAGAGAAAACGATTTTGTTTTACAAATAATTTACATTCGTGTGGTCACAAACAAACTGTGAAAAGATCAACATATTTAGGTGAGTTTACATAGCCAAGCCTCAAACTACCAGCACTGTATTTCTAATTCTTCTTTCTGGACAAGCCAAGGTAATGAGTCTAGGCCTTACTTCATTTCTCTCTACAAGAAATGGATATAGGATTCGTTTCTCTCTGCAAGAATGTATCCTGTGATGCCTGGCTGGAATTACTTTTGGTACAGAAAAGAATGAATAATGGAACTTTCCACAAGGCCTGGTTCTTTCTAATTGCCATGAAATCATTTTCTGTCTTGGAACTGGAATAATTTAATTTGGCCTAAAGTGGAGACTTTTATTACTCCAATATGCCTTCTATTTTTAAGCAGAAATGAGTGCCAGGCTTTGACCAATCCTAGATCTGGCTCTATTTGTCAAAGTTGCCATTATGTAATTAGTATAATTAGCGCTGTTACTGATAATGCTGGGAAAGGCTCCAATTACAGCTGGTATATGTAAATGTAATCAGAACTTTGCTGAATATAATTTCCCCAGATAGTGATGAAACACTTTGGAGAAACTCTTCCTTCTTTTCTTGTCAGTATATTTGAAAAGCTGTGATATGGAATATTTGATTAAATATTTAGAGAAAAATGAGGAAAAACTTAAATTTCTGCTACTTTTAATTATCTGAACATCATGTTGGAGAAGTGATTGCAACTCTTTGCTACAAGTAATGGAGAGCCCAGGTTATGACTGTTTTTGAAGAAGTGCTCAGAAGGGCCAATGAAGGGCAAAGATTTTAAAGGGAAAAGAAAATATGCATACTGTATACTTTATCTTTGCTTGGAAGAAGGAACTCTCTAGGATTTCAATCTGTGCCAAGGCTCATGTGCTCAGGGAGTTATTCTGCCAGGGAGGCAAAAAAAAAAAAAAGTGGTTGCTATTTGATACAGAATATTGTACTTATGGTAGGGCTATTACTTGTGGAATTTTTTGTTTATCTTTTTGTATCTTAAAGTCTTTAAAAGGATATGTCTCTTTTACATGACACAGGTTATCTTGCTATCTGAGCATTCTCTTTCTAGGCAGAAATTACCCATTCTCTAAGACTCACCAAAAACCTGTCTTGCTTCAGAATGTGCTAGGCATTTTACATGCATTAAATTGTCAAATTTCACAAAAGAGGAAACACTAACATTGAGAGATTAACCAACTTTACCAAGGCCACACATACAGTAACTGCTAAATTCTTTCTCCCTTCTGGATGGAGCTTTCCTTAACTATGCTATGACTCCTTGTTATTCCTCACTTGAACTCCTGGAACTCTTTTATGAGCTGTGCCATTGCAATTTAGCACTTAATTACACTTTTCCTCCAGGTGATTCTCATTGTTTCCTACTTGTCAATCTCATCATCCCAGCATTCCGGCATCATCCCATAGGATAACAGCACAGTTGCTGCTGCTTTTACATTTACTCAGCATAGCATGAGGCTCAATTTTTGTTGTTTCTTCATGATATTTGTTGATTTTAATAAAATAAAACCTTAAGTGATCTTACAAAAACTAATAATGTGTCTATACTGGCATTATATTTTATTTGAAGAGAGAATGTATTTTGGCCATGCTTCATATGTTAGCTTTTTGCACTTTGGAATATAGGACATAGTGGTATATCACAGAGCATTTCTGGGGCAATTGGCACCAAACCTCACTACCCAAAATACAGCTGAATCTTTTCTAATATGGTCCTAGAGGAAAACATCTGCAGAAAACCGTGAAGTTATTCTCTACCACATGATTCTTCAGGAATGATTTCTCAGGTGGCAAGGAGTTTAGCAGAAGTTCAGACATTTTTGTTTTGCAGAAAGATATATTTTCTGATTACAATTAATGATAGCTTTCTATTACAGCTTCTGATGGACTAGCCACTATTATGAGCAGATCATATCGTATGTCATATCATATCATATCACTTAGTTCTCATAAGAACCCTGTGAGGTAATGCTATTATGATCCTCATCTTACTGACTGGGGAACTGAGGCAGAGAGACAATCATTTACCCAAAATGACATAGAAAGGGATAGACCCATGATTTGAACCCAGGAAAGTGGTCTCAAGAGCCTGTGCTCTCTGAACAAAATGTAAAGTCATTTTCTTTAAATAAGTATAAAACCACCCTTACTTAATGTAAAATTGATACACAATTTTTCTCTCCTCCCTCTTTCCCCTATCCACAAGCATATTCATATTTGTTAGAAAATGCCCAAGTATTTGCTTTCTGTTTAGAGGAAAATCAGTTATCCATGATCCCAAATTCAATATTTTCTTAACCCTATCAGACCAAATGCCACCTTTTTGTAACAGATATTTTCAAAAACAGTCTTTACTTTCCCAAAATGAAATTCATAGATAATATAACACACCTATACACATAAACAGAAAAATATCAATATAATAACAACTCTATAAAAGAAATAAAAGTAATTTATAGTAATGTCTTTCAATATGTAAAGGCATTAACATGCGTATACTATAAGAAATGGCAAAGTAGTTAGAAAGTTATACCTGTTAATCACCATAGATGGAGACTGATACAGGTGTGTTTTATTTGTGGTTCTGATGAGATTTTCTGAAATGGTGACCAAATCAAGGTTAAGTTCTGGAAAAGAATAAGACAAAGCTCCCCTAATAACATGCTACTGTATTTCTTCCATTATAAGCAATACATTTTCACATTTCTGAATCAGGACGTGCCTTACAAGCACTCTCAGCCAGGTGTCAGTCGTGACATCATTGCCCATTGTCACTGCCTGAGCATGTGCGAACTTGATTATTGTTACCAATTTCATTTCTGAACAATTTAAAGACCATCTGAAGAAGGAATATGAATGCTGGTTGTTGTCTGAAAACTTTACAGCAATATCTTTGGAAGGCTCAAAAAAAATGCCAGCATCAAAACTTACATAATTGACATTAGCGGTTTGGAAGAAAACCCTAGCTACAAGAGTTGATCACTATTTTAGGAAATATAGCATCATCAGAACACTTGATAACAGAGAGGATGATATTGTTTGTAAAAAACATGGATATTGACAATTCTGAGTTAAAAACTGTTTCAGTAAATTTTCTGAATACGTAGAAGTTTAACAATATGTTTTGCTTTTGTTTTTCCTTTTATATATGCCTAAGTGTGATATTTTATTTCTGTCTAAATATGTCTAAAAGAGCTCTTAAGCAAAGATAAAATAATAATAATTATGTATAAGATGTATTGTGTCATAGTTTAATTGGCAGTGCCTTTCTTGATGATATTTAAATAATACTATGTTTTACAATTGATGATGTCTTAAATTGGATAAAATAGCATAGTTTCCTTCCTGGAAAATTTATTTCACATTAAAACAGTGTATACATATTTTGTTTTTATATGTAAA